CCTCTAGCATATGTTAATATGCTGTGTGAAATAAGGCAGACAGCAGAATGAAGGCTCCTGGAGGGCAGAGTTACTTTTGTCTGGTGTCCCCAGTGCATTCTAACAGTACCTTAAAACATAGTGGCTGCTTAATAAATACTTGTGGAACTGAATCCATCTGTCTGAGCTTCAATTTCTTCATTTAAATGGTTGAATTAGAGTTCTCCAAAGTTATTTCTAGTACTAAAATCCTATAATTCTGTAATTCTAGGAAGAGAAGAAACTTTCTCAAAGCTAATAGCCAGTGAGCCTAAATAAATGTATACTCTGGCCCACCCATCACCAAATTATGTGAATGGACTAAGTTTTATCAACAATATTCATTAATACCCACTTTTTCAGGTGCTCAGCGCTATAGGTAAATATGTAGTTTTCCTTTAAAAACTTAAAATCTAAAGAGTATGATTATAAGAAATTAATAACAACTTTGAAAAATTTAACAAATAAAATGTTAACTGCAATACTCAGGGCTCTAATCACATTGGAAGAAATTTCCCCATTTGAAGAAGCATAGGTCTCACCCACAAGTTGTTATCCCATTTCTGGTTTCCTTACTCCATATTCTCTTTCCCTCTTCTCCCTTTGCAGAGCCCCCTAAGTACAAGATTTCTGCATAGGGACTTAGAAAACTCTATGGACTGAAAAGTGATGAAACTAAACTCTGCATGTGTCTTTTTTTAAAAGTGTCTTGGAGCTAATGAAAGGGAATTGTGCTAAAATGGTGAAACTGACTTAAAGGGGTTCTAAGCTAAGAACTCATAGTTTTTCAATGGATCTGTCACCTCATTTGTATTTTCTCTATAAGTGAACAAAGTAACCCATCCATACCTTTTCAACACAGTGCAATTCCTACCTATCTTTTCCCATAGATTCAAGCCTTCTTCTCTAGGTCTTTTTTTTTTTAATTTTATGGTTATCAAGTATAATACTCAAACTATTCATCTTTTATCCCTACACTACTGCTTCATGACCACATCACACCTCTTTCATAGTCCTCATGGCATTTCATATTATAAATCATGGCTAGAAATAACTTCCTACACATTGAATTATTTTTAGACTTTTAAAATTACTTTTAAAAAACAAACATTGTTCATGTTTTAGACTAGACTAGGTTTAGATTAAACCACTTTTTACTCATGGGCAAAATCATTCTTTCTTGTAGAAGTGGGATCCAATGTACATCTCAAGGTAAATCAAACACATATTAACTAGATTCCACACTCAATCAAACACCAAGCTTTAAAATAAGTTCAGGCCAACCAAAATGAAATTGTGTACCTCAAACATATTAATAATTTGCCTTGCACTATTAAACTGTGCATACCCTTTGACCCAGCAATACTATTACTAAGTCTGTATTCCAAAGAGATCAAAGAAAAATGAAAAGGACCTATGTATACGAAAATATTTATAGGACCTCTTTTTGAAGTGGCAAAGAATTGGAAATTGAAGGGATGCCCATCAATTGGGGAAAGCCTGAACAAGTTGTGGCACAGGAATGTAAGAGAATACTATTGTACTGTAAGAAATGATAAGCAGGCAGATTTCAGAAAAAACTAGGAAGATTTACATGAACTGATGAAAAGGGAAGTGAGAAGAACCAGAACACTGCATACAATAAAAGCAATATTGTAAAGAGACTAACTGTGAATGACTTAGCTATTCTCAACAATACAATGATCCAAGACAATTATTCCAAAGGACTTACCATAAAAAATGCTATCCACCTGCAGAGAAAGAACCGGAGTCTGAATGCAGATTGAAGCATGCTTTTTAAACTTTATTTTTAGTCTGTTTTCTTTCACAACATGACTAAAAGGGAAATGTTTTGCATGACTGCACAAGTATAACCTATATCAAATTGCTTGCCTTCTCAAGGAGGGGGGAGCAGAGGGAGAGAGGGAATTCGGAACTCAAAATTTTGGGAAAATTAATATTAAAAATTATTTTATATGTCATTCAGAAAAATAAAATACTAAAAAAAGAATTTGCCTGGCACTATTTTATGTAATTCCTAAAAGAGGAAAAGCCAAATGTTTCCTATTGATGTAAAAGTAGAAGACTCAAGAATGTGACCTTTTTTTGTTTTGTATCTTAAGGCATTAACCCTATTAACATAATTATCCCCAAGATGCTTCAAAAATGCTTGCTGGATTGAATAGAATAGTACAGAATTTTAGAGCATGGATTAGAACTCACAGAACAGAGAACTAATTTAGTTACCACCTCAAAGATGATCAAAATTCTTAAAGTCTAGCATCACAAATACTATGTAATAGTTCAACGTGCTGTTTATTCTATTTAACTCCAAAGAAAACCAGAGGTTACTAAGAGCCTAATTTCAAAGGGTAGAGACACTTCAATATATATTGTGGGGCACAGAATAATTCTATTTCCCCTCCCGCTGCTTTCAACTCACATCCTTCCCCTACTTTCCATATCCTGTTTACTGCATTAAGATTTAAGTTTTCACCATAGGATAGAGGGGTGTGGGGATGATGGAGCATTTGGAAGTTGCCCTGGGTACCCTCTGGCATCCTCAGTTAACTCCCACTATAGTCCCTCTTACTGAAAGAGAATTTAAAATACCAACTTGGGTTTTGCCTTGCACTAATCACTATCCTAATAGAAGTAGCATGGATTAGTCTACCACACCCCCATCTATGCACATCATTGTGTCCTATATCAACATAAGATAAACATTAAAATATCTAAAAGATCTCTTTTATATAACTGTCTATGCAATCTAGACACACAAGTATAAGAAAGGTTTAGAGAAACTGTTGCAATTTTAACAGACTAAAAGAATTTAGGGAAGCAAATAAAACCTTTTGATCAAATTCTCTTGCAAATCATTTTAGTATGTGAAGATAAAGCAATTTAAGATTGAATAGTCAATTGACCTAACACAAAGTGTCTTCTATATTCTTGAAAAATAGACCACCCACAACTCTGATAAATCCTACAGAACTGGGAACAGTATTTAATGAAATACAGTATGCAAGCAATGTAGGTATAGCCATACTTTTAAAATTAAACTCATAAAACAGAAATAATTGTGTAACCATTTGCATTTACAAAAGGATTTTCTGCTTCAAAAAAGTTTTAAGTTACCAAAATTCCTTTAAATATGAAACTTCTGTAGTATAGATAAGCATTCCATTTACAGAAATTCTATTTATGTACATTTTTACCACACATCTACAATAGAAACCTTGCACAAGTTATTTAAAGGTAATCTTCCAGCTAATTATGGTCAATTCATTTGAAAAACCCTACCTTGGGTCTCTGGGCACAAATTATGTTAAACAGTATTACTCATAAAGTTTAAATACTTATGCACTTAACCCATGACAACTCTTGTCGTTCAAGAACAGTATCTGAATCTGTTTTCTCATTCATCTTTTTGAAATGGGTCTCAGACCAGATATGGAACAAGGTATATTGTGAAGGTCAACTGACATTTGCATAGCCAGAACAGAGGACAGGAAACAAGCTGAAGAAGATAGGAGAAAGGAATAATTTTTCCTTTAATTTAAATGAAAGGACTGAAAAAAGAAGCGCCTAACTTTCTCGTCATAGACAAAATAAGTATACGCACAAGGGCAATGACTTAAATGATTTTAAAAAACTTAAGTCTCCTTCAAATGTCTATTAAAGGGAAGAAAAACTTTAGAACTGCAGAAAAAAATAATTCAACTGCAGTACTCAAACCTCCCTTAAAATTTCTGAAGAAAAGTCACAGTACAGCATCTTTCATTCTTTGATCCCAAACTCCTCTACAAAAAATTGACAGTTACTGCGCCATTTTCCAGGAGAGGGGGGAAAAAATTAAGTCACATAGAGTTAGTGACTCGCCAGCGAGGAGACAGCAAATCAGAGCCCAAGTCTAAAACTTAGAGATTAGCAGGCTCCCACTCCCTCCGCCCCCAGCAGCGGGGCCCCCGCCCCTCCTCCGCCCCGATATGCTCCGGCACAGTCCAATCAGCTTTGAAGCCTGGGTGAGTGGAGCGAGAGCAAGTTTTGAGGGGGGATAAAGGGGGGAACCAGTCCTCCCGAAGCCCCCAGCTTCTTCACTTTTTCCGAATTCTCTTCCCGGCCTGACCCACTCGTCCTCATCCTCATTTTTAATCACAAAAATGCTTCCGTAATAACAGGTTAAACCGACACGGATTATCTCTCTGCCCTGACCACGGGAGTCTAGCAAACACCCCCCCCCCAAATTCCTTCTCCTGGCCCCGCGCGGCTCCCTCGGCGGCTGCCCGATGGCCGGGCTGCGTCCCCCGACGGCCCAAGCCCTCCGAGGTGGCCTTTTGGGGTCCGCGGTGCCGCCGACCCCGTCCCAGCTTGGCTTCGGGCTCCCCTCCCCCGTCCCCGGGGGATCGGTGCTCCGGGGGTAACGAGGGGGCCTCCTGAGTCCGGGGCCCCAGCGGGGGAGCTGTCAGTCGGGCCTCCCCACACGGGAGGGGGGAGGAGAAAGGAGGTGGGGGGGGACGCAAACAAAGAGGCCCCGCGGCGCCCGGGAGAGCGGGACCGAGGCCGCGCCCGCGCCCGCCGAACCCCAGCCGCCCTCATTCCCACGGCGGGGGCGCCGAGCTCGGAACCGGCCCGCCGGACGGAGAGGGAAGGAGGGCCAGAGGAGAGACAGGAATGGGTCCCGCCGAAGCCGGGGAGGGGGCGGCGGCCGCCACCATGTCTGCCCGCCCCTCCCCAGAAGCAGGGTGCCGGGCGGACAAAGCACGGCGGCGCGGGCGGACAGCCCCGACCACCCCCCGCCCCCCACCGACCCCCGCGGAATAAGCGGGGCCAGGAGCCCCGGAAACCCGGCGCCTTAATGCAATAAACAGGAAATCGCGGGGATGATCTGGGTTCCGGGGGAAGTGGAATTATTTTTTACCAGCGAAGAGATCAACTTCCACATCCGGTGGTAACAGGGCCCTGCACAGACCCGCACTGACCTGGAAAAGCTTCGGGAGCGGCGGCGGGGGAGCAGCGGGAGATGTTGCGGGGACCCGAGGCACCTGGTACCCGGCCGGGCTGACGCGGCCCCGCTATCAACAAAGCGCTTCAGAACCACCGGGCGCTATTTTCCGAAAATGCCGCGTCTGGTCGGCGCCCAAAATCCCCACCGAAAAGTCCCCCGTGCTTCTCGCGGAGGGACACATGGTGTGCGAGTGAGTCGAGCTCCCAGCATCCCTCCCTTCTCCCTGCCCTCGCTGAGCTCAACCTAACCTTCCCCCTCCCCCCTTTTTCTTTTTTGCTGCCCTCCCGGCTAGAGCTGCCTTTCCCGTACTCTAACCCCTGACCCCGCGGGAGAGAGAGGGGATGGCGGTTCTGATATTTAACCGAGGAGAGGAAATTACGCCATTTCAAGGTTTTCTGCTACACAAAGAAACCGGCGGAATGATCTGCTCGTGATAAATGCGAGTCCCGGCTGGTACTGCGCCTGCGTGCCGTGAGGGGGAGGTGGCTATTTGTCCATGTGGACGCTTGTCCCGAGCGCAGGCAGTTCCTGGTGCCTTCCCGCCTGTTTTTATTTTTCTATTAGTTGAAAAAAACAAACGACCAGCGGAGTTTCTCTGACCTTTATTTGCCTTTGATGGAACCCGGGATTCGTCTATGCCCCCATGTCCTGTGTGGTTGGAAGGGAAATGGGGGATGAAAACGTGCAAATCAGCTTAATAAGCTGGCCAACTGTGCCTAGTAGAATTCTGGGAGGCTTGGGGGGCAGGGAGGAGGGGTGTCGTGTTACTCTGAACAACCTAGGGGTTTTACTTAAAGCGACCATAGTTCTAACTTGCTAATGTGGGTCGGAGCCAGGGGGCAAAATAAAGAAAGGTATTTGCATCGTGACCGTATTTTACAAGACTGAGCATCCAGGATTGGCTCCTAACATGCTAAGACACTAAGAAATATGGGCTGAGAGGGTTCATCTCGGCCTCACGGATGTAAAAGAAGCAGCCTTTTCTTACCCCATACACGCCATAAACTTACCTTTGAGGCTTTTATCCTTATTTTTCCAAGACCGGTTGGGTGGTCTTGGTAAGAGGGCTTGAGTTCCAAGGTGTTGATCTCTGCTTCACTTAGTGGTTAGAAAATTCACCTTAAGGTCAAGATGACCTAGTTCAACACAGACTGACAAGCTGGCTGTGTGGCCCTGGGCAAGTCATTTAATCTCTTTCGTTGACAACTCTATACTAACTCATAACCTACTGGCTGTGTGTGTGTGACCCTGGGCTTAACACCTTAACACTTAACACCTAGTGCCTCCAGGCTACTTATAAATCGATGAACTGTTGCCAGTCTGAATTGGTTGAGGAGTTTTCTCACCAGGCTTAAGTATTTTAATTCACAAGGTAAAACAATTAAGTTAATTTCTGTTTGCAGCCTGCTGTCCCATTTGGAAAAGTGAAAAGTTGGCTTCTCAACTGATTGTTGTTTTCTGGCTGTAGGGTTCCATAAGCTGTTTGTATACCCTAGGCAAGATTTGAACATTGATGAAGGAGTACAGCATTTGAAAGTTGGCTGCCTTTGTCCTTTGGACCAGAGGCTTTGACCTTTCCGAGTAATAAAATGTACCTGATTTAAATACTTGTCATAGAAATCTGAATTTTCTGGCATTAAAATTTGTTGTTCAGTCCTGTGGGATTCTGTGACCCCATTTGAGATTTTCTTGGCAAAGATACTGGAGTGGTTTGCTATTTTTTCTCCAAGTCATTTTACCAATGAGGAATTGAGGCATGCAGGGTTAAGTGGCTTGCCCAAGGTCACACAGTTAGTAAATGTCTGAGGCTGGATTTGAACTCAGGAAGATGAGTCTTCCTGACAACAGGCCCAGCACTCTATCAACTATGCCACCTAGCTGCCTGGCATTAAAATATACACATTTATAAAAATTGTGCCCCCCTTCCTCCGTCTTCCCAATATTTTACAACCCAGGCAGCGTTGTCAGTAAGTGAGCATTTATTAAGAGCTTACTGTGTTGCAGGTATTGTGCTAAGCACTAGGAGTACATAGAATGACCAAAAGTCTCTGACTTCAGTGTGCACCTTCTAAAGGAAGAGACTACATGTAAATAATTAGATACATACAAGATATGTCCAGAGTGCATGGAAGGTAACCAGGGAAATGAAAGCCCTTGTAGACTGAAGGACCAAGAAAGGCTGTCTGCAAAAGTTGGAATTTAAACTGAGTCTTGGCATGGGCAGATCTTGGGAATGCACTGAGGGAGGATGTCCTGTTTGAGGGACTGCTTATAGGCCAGTATAACAGGATCATAGTGTTCTTGGAAAGGAGTAAAGTCTAAGAAGACTGGAAAGGTAAAAAGAGGCCAGGTTATAAAGAGCTTTACTTGCTAACCCTAGTCATTAAAGCATGTAAGTCAGTGCTGGTGGTATCAAAATAACAAACAGACCCAGTCACCACTGTCCTCAAGTAATTTACTTTCTATTCCTAAATCTGCTTATTTCTCCTTTTACAAAATTTATGTAATATGGACTTACCAAGTTCCTGTTTACCTTTTTTGAATTGACATACACAAAAACAAGTAAATTGTAATTTTAATTATGAGTGTTGGGTTTTTCCCCCACCATTTGAGATCTTTTAGCTAATAAGAGACTTAGCAGGTTTGCTCATTAACATTCACTTTTTTGTAACATGGTTTTTGAGAGAGTGCTTAGAGACATTTTTTCATTTAAAAATCTGAAGGGGCAAGAAGATATAAAGTTTCAGAACTAAAAATGTTTGTATTCAGTGCTCATAGGAAACAAGGAAAAGGATTAAATTAGCATTTGAATGAAAAAGTTTTAAAGAAAATGGAACAGTGAGTAACAAACCACAATTTTGCAACCTGGGTGTGGCTACCTTCCTGGAAACATTTTTTTTAAAATCTGCGAAAGATTTTTCTGAAATGAGCTAAATATCAACTGCTAAAAGTTCAAAAACTGACCAAGTGAAATGGCAAAACTACAAGTTATATGTTTATGTTTTCAGGCTTTGGTGAGCATATAATATAGTTAAATGGGATAGTACAGGGGAGAGGCTGAAGTTCTATGAAAGAAGTCCATGGCAGACTACATCATCAGGTAATGTGAAAGAAAAAACATTTTTATCACCTTTTATTAAAAATAAAGAGAAAATAAGCATTTATTAAACGCCTGCTGTGTGCCAAGCACTTCGATAAATGCTAAGCAAACAAAGATAAGTGGAAAGGATCAGAGATCTAGAATTGGAAAGGACCTCAGAGGCCATCTCGTCCAACTCTCTCAGGTTTGGAGAGGTTGAATGATTTGCTGAGGATCATACATCTAGTTTTTGGGGAGTCTTTTGAACCCGGGTCTTCTGATTCCAAGTCTGTTGTTCTCTCAAGGCCCAAGGTCACAAAGGTATTAAGTGACAAGCAGGATTTGAACTCAGCTCCAATGCAAGGGCTCCTCCCAATATGCCTCCCAGCTCTTATATGCCTATTAAATGGTCTATTCCCCACATTCTGTTGGGGGTGACATGTACATATATGTAAAAAATGGATAAGGTGATTTGGGAGGAAAGGTCCCAAGCACCTGTGGGATTTAGGAAAGGCCTTGTGTAGAGGTTGTACTCAAACTGAGTCTTAAAGGGGCCTGGGGACTCGGGCCAGAAGTGAGGAGGGAGTAAGGTCCAGGGATGGGAATGGTCAATGCAAAGGCACAGAGGTAAGAAATAGATTACTATTATTAATAATTGTCCTCTGTTCTTTATAAATGACAGTACATCTCTCATCAGCATTCCTTTGTCCTGGCCGTGCTCTGTGCCTGGAATCCATACCCACCTCACTTCCACCTTATAGAATCCTTCCTTCAAGACAAAGTTCAAGGACCTCATATTTGTAGCCGTTACCAATTCCTTGCCCCCTCCCTCAACTGCTAGTGCCCTCCTTTCCAACAGACTTGTAGTTAACTACTTTGTAGTTATTATGTATATAGATGAAGAAAGTGAAATCTGAGTATTTACATGTGTACTTCTTGTCTCCCCCTATTCCAATGTAAGCTTTCTAGTAGAGAGTTATATTCTTTGTAGCCCTTTGCATAGAGTAGGCACTTAATAAATATTTGCTCCAATCCTAGAACTCAGACCTCATCAGTACTGCCCCTGGGGCTCTTCTGATTGAAGGAAAAGGAGTTCCCAAAACTTCCATCAAAGGAGGGTCCCCAGGCCAGTCATTTACATCCCCCCCAATCTCTTTTTATTGTCCTTTTGTGTGTGGTCTTCCCCCATTAAATTGTAAGCTTCTGGAGGGCAAAGATGGCCCTTTCTCATTTTGTATCCCCAGTGTTTATTTAGCAGTTTCTAACACATAGCAGGCACGTAATGTTTATTGATGACTGAAATATACTCTCCACAGCATCTCTCACTAAACCTCCAAATCTAAAAAAGTTAGCCCAACAGATAAAACACAGTTGAATTTGGTACCAAAGGAACAAAGAGCTACATTTCATCTTCCAGTAATGTGAAGATGAAGGTCTTTCAGTATTTTAGTCTCTTTTTCTATATCTTGTATGTTTCTGTTCTTTTGTGTTTCTTTTCTTTTTTTTAATTTATGGAATAAAACAAGTATTTTCATAACAGTACAATTAAAAAAAAGATGATTTTACATGGAATTGCAAATCTACTATGCACAACTTGCTATTCCTTTCAAATATTACCTTGTAAATTTCCTTTTTTTTCCTCTTTTTACTGCCTCTTTGGGTTTCTATTTAATTATACGGCCCTGTCTGCCTCCTAGTATCTCTGTTTTAATTTTGTTTGCCTGACCACTTCAAAATCCACATCTTTGCCTTATATAACCAAAGCCTCTTGATATTGGTGGTACTATATTGGTGGTACTGTGAAAAATGCCCTGGCTCCGAAATCAGAGGAAGAGGAATTAAGTCCTGCTTCTGACTTAGTTTCTAGGTGACTTTGGGCAAATCACGTAGCCTCCCTGTATCTCAGTTTCCTCATCAAGCCTAAAATTTCCTTTTTTCATCTTCTACTTATTGCTTCTGATTCTGCCCTTTGGGGATAAACAGAACAAGTTGAATCTCCTTTCCACATTACAGCCCATTAAATACTTGAATATAACTATAATGTTTCCCCTGAGTCTTCTCTCCCTGCTAAACATCCCTAGGTCTTTCGACTCCTGATTGCTCTCTGCTGGATTCTCTTCAATATAGCAACATCTTTCTTAAATTGTGATACCTAGAAATAAAACACAATAGTCAATCAATTAACAAACATTTAATTAAGTACTACATACTAAGGACCATGCTAGGTGCCAGAGATACAGAAAGAAATACATACATATACTTATATATGTGTATATAAATATGTGTATGTATATGTGTTTGTGTGCAAAATTAAGAGCAAGAAAGATTACCTTCAGCCAAGAGAATCATGCCTGGAACACCTCCTTCCTTTTACCTGTTGACCTCCTTGGCTTCCTTTAAGTCCCAACTAAAATCCTATCTTCTACAGGAAGCATTCCCTAACCCTTTTTAATTCCAGTGCTTTCCCTCTTAATTATTTCCTAATCATCCTGTACTTAGTTTGCTTTGTGTATTTGCGTGTTGTCTCCCCCATTAGATATTCAGCTTCTTGAGAGACTATCTTTGCCTATTGTATCCCCAGGCCCTTAGGTGCTTTATAAATGTTGATTGACTTTGAAAGCCAGGGTTAGGTATACCTTATTTAGTTGGCTATGGAGTATCACTGACTACTCAGCGATCTCTTCAGCTTTCAAAGATTCAATTATCTATCAATTATCTACCCAGATGGCTTTTTTTGGGAGGGGAGGGGAAGGCAGGAGTAGATAGTTGACATTAAATGACTTGTCTAGGGTAATAATAGACAGCTAATAAGTAATAATAATAATAATAATAATAAGCTAATAAGGTAATAACAGCTAATAAGTGTCTAAAACCAAATTTGAACTCAGGTCCTCCCAATTCCAGGGCTGGTGCTTTAGCCACTTCACCATCTAGCTGCCTCTTACCCAAATGACCTCTAAGTCTACATATCTGTCAATCAACATGGCCAACCTCCAGCACTCCAGGAACTATGCTGGGCCCTGGAAATACAAAGTCAAAAGTGCAACTCCCAAAGAGTTTACATTTTGTTGTGCATGTAGCTATGTTCTGAATCCTCATACTAGCAGATTGTGTCCTAGAAAAAAAGGCATTTCTCCCTCAGGGTTCTGGGAAGCAATACTGAGGAGTTTCTTTCCCTAATACTATCAATTCAAGCTTCCATTCTAATGTATTCTCCCCTAGTATCAATCACTAATGATTAGTGCCCTAATATCGTTTAACCAGTTGACATCAGTTAGCATTTACAAAGGGATATTTACTGAGAAAATATTGGCAAGATATAAAATTGGCAAAAAATATATATTTCTATGGTATAATATGCAAAATATAAAATACTAGCAGAAATACAAACATTTCCTTCCTAACACTGGGACTAGGGGTGGGAAAACCTCTCTTTTGTACTTCTTCCTAGCAAGAATGGGCTAAAAGGAGGTTCTGCAAAGCATCCAGTTGTAGACTACCCATGGCCAAAGGATAAGTCACAGTCTCCCTGGCCTGGGTCAAAAGAAACTGATGTTCAGGACCCTCTCCCAGCATTAGACTCCTGCTCTTGGAT